TCATCCACTTCGACTGGGCGGCCAGATCGTTGTGAATTTTTCAGTGAAAAATCACCGGAACGAAATCTTTCAAACCAATTTCGACACTGCCTTTCTTCTAAGGCTTCATCTCCATATACGGCACAGAACTTCTTTTGTGCTTGCGATGCGTTCTTGCCTTTTCGGAAGTAATACAATAAAATGTGTCGGAAGTGCACGTCCTGTTCTTTCATTTTTAAATTGGGATAAAAGCAAAACTAAAGAACTAAACAAAAAAATTTTTTACTAATTAACCTAGAAGCCCATAGAGTAAGAACAAAATACAGGTTAGATGCTCTGGCCACGTTAACAAAACAAAAGAAAGTATAGAGTGAATCTGTCAACAAAAACGGCAATGACTTAGTTGCCAACCCAATAGTTCGAAGTCAGAAGTCAACTGCCATCTAATAGACTTTTTGCCGTATGAGTATGCGCTGCACAGGGTGCACCACGTGGAGGTAAGTCTATCGCACACAGCACAGGGTGCACCACGTGGAGGTAAGTCTATCGCACACCTCACATCTTGCGATAAGTAGTAAAATATTAGGCAAAGAAGTTAATGCTGGGTTATACGAATATTTTTTGGTCGGTTTATTTTGTCTATGTGAACGCGAGTAACCAGAAGAGACCTAATGAAAAAGCCACAAGAGAAAGGCTGTGTTTCCATGTTTAATAGAGATGGCTTCTGGCTAAGAGCTTCAAATGAAGCTTCCTTAGTAACTTACCTACGAAACCGTGAGCTTTTGGACTGGATTTGCAAAAATGTGAGTGCCATTTGGGGTTAGCAAATGATATATTTCTTGATATTCTATGATTGGTATAAATAATAATGAATTAACCTGGCAATTAATTCTATTCAGGTGAGCATTTAATATCTAAGCAAATGTCAAGTGCCGATTACTATACAAAATTGTTTCCTTCTTTTTACTCTTTATCAAACTTGGTTATTGGAAGCTGTCAAATCTTTGCCCTGACAGAAACTTTGCTATTTCTGAGTGTTTGTGTTCGTGGAAGTTCTGTTCGAGGTTTGGATGCTCTTGTAGTCATTCGCCAAACCGAATTACCTCCCTTAAAGAAGATGCGGATTCGGTTTTGTTCATATCTACTCATGATACCTGACATTCTCCGCTGCCTTTGGGTGATTGCTTTAAAGTTCAGCTCCCAGTAGAATTGTCTGTTTGCGTCTCCCAGTTATTGCCCCTCCCCCCTCCTTCAACCTTTCCATTCTCTCACCTTTGGCAAAACTGTCGCGCCAATTGTCATAGGAGGAGATGCTCTTCTTAGTGTCTCTAGTCCCTGCATCACAGTGCTATCTGCATAACTGATTTGAATCACTGCCAATCAGAAAATGTGTGCTGTTTAAAAGTGAGTTGAATATTTTCTTACTATTTATTTTATTTCAGTAAGATGTTAGTGTACACCACAGGCTGTGATATGTTAGACTGTGAGGAATGAGCACTGCAGTGGGAACATTTGGCTCCAACCTGCCCGACTACAAACAGAACCCGATTATCTCCTCTTTAATGCTGATCCAGGTGAGTAGGTTGCGCAGATTTCTTTGCTTCTGAAAACTAATCAAAAGTTGTTGTATACCGTGCTTCTTTATGTGCAGTCAGCTGTGACCGAGAATGAGCTTTATTGAATTCCTTTGCAAATTTTTGCTCTTATCTTTCTCACGATTTCGCTACTTGAATTTGAATCATTAACATCCTTTCTCTGCGAACTGAAAAGATGTTGCCAAGACATCTATAGTTTTATGATGCCTGTGTCCTCTTTCACATTGACCACTAACTAACGCCTTCACTAAATGTCTTATTTATGGCTAGCGATACCTTCCACTTCTCCAAATCACTTCACAATGCTGAGTCCGGATATTTGGCCTTGCCAATGCATCAATACTGACTTCCATACACCTATTTCCCTATCAGCATCTTGTCAATATTGTCATCATTAGTAATGTATCCCACACCCTCCCACTCCTGTAACTTCTACTCCCTAAGAAAGATAGTAAGTTGATAAACATGAGAAATATCGAAAACTTGTGGGCATATGAAAGATATTTAGGTACATTTAGATTGATCTTTGGTCATTTTCAAAGTATACACTTCATCGTGAAATTTGTCCTTGTTGAATCCATACTGACTAAATTATTTAATATAATATATTAATGTACTCCTTAACTAATATTGATCAGGTTGTCATATTTTTGTTAAAAAACGTTACTCTCTTGTATTTTCCTAAATTCGAGTACAACAGTTTGGTAGCAGCTTCGATAGAACATGTTTTTAAAAGTACATCACGCGATGACTCAGTTGTATACTCAACCAAACAACCTAATGCACCCTATTAACTAACATACAAAACTCCGTAATCGATTCTGAGAATTAGACGTGTCACTTAACTCTATTTCTCACCACGCTTATATTTACGTTTCAACTCTCAGTACTTTGGGACTACTGTCGTCACAAGGTTTGCTTGAAAATCATTCGACTTCTAAGTGTAAGAGCTTTAATCCAAAACTCATCTTTTGTACATTGAAACAGTTTCCAATATTCAAATCTTAAAGGTATATCTTAAAGAATAAACTAATAAACCTTTAATAGAAACCTTAATTGGAATTACCATCCTAATAGACTGTTAATGATGACTTCAAAATTTTATTCGAAATGGGAAAAGAAGTATTGTTTCCATTTTAAATAATAGTCTTTTGCAATAAATTTATAGAAAGTAAATAAAACTATGAAAGGAATGAAAGAGCGTTTCAATTTCACGGACATTTAAAAGATTCATGTCTGATTGTGTAAAATGAAGATGCACATTCATCAGCGTCAAGTGGAAGACGAATTTTATGAATGACATGACCACGTCCATTCAATAGATACTCATCACATAGTCCCGAGTGCTGCTCAATAAATTCATTACTTGAAACGAGACACCGGTGCACAAAGGGATATTGGTCCATCAATTTTCTGCAATCCTCAATCACTGCCCCCGTCACGCTTCCTGTGAAGTGCGACCGAATGTGAGATTCGCAAACTTGCCCCTTGGTGTTGTAGTAGGATTTGAGGAAATTAACTGGCCGTCGCGGTACTGGAAACCACTGTTTGCCAAGTGGACGATACGTCAAAGGGAATATATCGCTAAGAAGATACCTTTTACTGTGGTCTCTATAATCTTGGCACATGTTCGGTTTGAATTCCTCAAAGTATGAAATATCGATAAATGGCCACCCCCATGGTAGTTCAGCATCATAGTGGCTGCCAATTGAGTTTGAAGTGAGAGTTATTGATGAGTTGAACGGTGCGAAGAAAAGTTTATCGCGCAGTCTCATTGTGTAAGTGTGAAATTTCGGAGCAAGTTTCTTCAGAATAGCTTGAACCGCTGGTCGATGTTTGATATGTAACTTGAAGTTGGCATCATCATCCCAAGGAATGAAATCATGGTGTTGAATAGAGCCCAAGAGAGCTCCAGCGTGTAGAAACCAATGACCTTCCAGATGTGCATCTGTCATAGCCTTTTTGAATTCTTCTATAAGAATTTCCAGACTTCGCTGTTGACCGGCACTAGTTTTTATATCAAAAGGACCCAATTCTCGCACTTCGTCCATCGTGGAAACATTGGGTCTGGTTAGGTTGGGCCAGGGAATTAAATTGAGGTCGAATATGTGATTATAATCCAATTCCAGCTTAGACAATGATTTCATTCGCCATTCTACTACACTGTGATGATAAATGTTCACATAGATCAAAGCACCAACACTAAACAGAAGTAAGACTGTTCGGTCCCTCATGGCGTCTATCTGAAAATGCTAAAATCAATTCCTATATTAGTAGCTAAATTTTAAAATAATTTTAAGCAAATTAGTCTGTTTTAAGAGGGTGTAAGGTAGACTTACCTCCATGTGTTGCTTACTATGCAACGTATACTCATACGGCAATAAATTCTATTAACTGGAAGTTGATTTCCTACTTCAAGCTACCATGACCCAACTCTATGTCATATTTTACCACTTCCACAGTACTCACCTTACCATTTTCTCTACATTTGTATCCGTCTCTCATACATCAGTGGTTCATTCTTCTGTCCTCCCCCCCCCCCTCCACACCTTTTGCCATCTAAAGGGCTAATGATAACTGACATAAAACTTGCCATTTGATTTAAATAAAAAAATCTGTTAATGTGGCATTATGAAATTATTGAAATCCTTAAAAAAATAATATTGTAACCTACTCTTTCAAACGTTTCCTTTAAATACGATTGCAATCCAGAAATGGGTGAAAGATGAGGCCGAGTCTCTAGTAGGGAATAGAGTTTAAAAGAGGGCGAGTATACTCAAGGTCCTTACTGGTTTGCGCTGTAGCAGAACAATTTCAAATGATTGGTTAAATCATGATTCAAGGACATAAACTATATTTCCTGCACTCTTAAAGAGGGGGCAAATCTGCTCTAGTACTATTTTGTGAAATTAATTCAGTACTGATAATTAAAGTAGGAACAAAGGAAAATACGGATATTATGTTACGATTGGGTACCACGGTGTGAAAAAGAGTTCAATTTATCTTTAAAAATTAGATCGCCTTTCCAGCTTGACGCCTTCTTGTGCTATTTGGAAATAAGAGCAAAGATAGACCCACGGTCAGTTCTAATCAACGAACATTTAGTGCACTATTGGATGTACAGTACTTCACCAAGAAAAAATGTCGGAATGCGAATTCTTAATGGAAACGGCTCTAGATTGTTCAAATAGGAACAATAAGACCATGCATAGTGGTGGTTGATAGTTGCAATAAAATTCTTCATAACCATAGAAGATGAGATATGGACATTTCAGCAGAATTCAAGAATATGCCTGTCGCCTCATTGGCACAAACCACACATCAACATCAGATTAGAGCTTTCCCATCAATGACCTTTGCAGCAATATAGAAGTTTCAAATCATTTTTCTTCGCCTGAGACACACAAAGCTATTTTGGAGATCATTCTTTGTCTTATGTCCTAACCGACCACCCCCCCCCCACCCCACCACCAACACCAGTGATGAATCCATCTCTATTTCCCCTTAATTCTGCTTTTCTTCAAAGGGACGTTTTCATTCGCAGCAAAATAAGCCCAACTGTGTGCTAATCTTGGTCAGCAAAGACACCACATACCACCCCAGGAGGCTTGAAGAAGTCAATTACTAAACATGGGACTCTCCTCAGGCTTCATGTCTTCTCCGTCTTCAATCAACATAATTGCAAATCTGGTAACGTCGATGGTCAACGACGCTGGCTAATTCCAGTCAGAATGAGTAATGATAGAGTGTGTGTTTACCATGACACCAGCTTCATCTCGAGTTCCAGTTGAATAGTATGAACCCCTTCCATAATGTGCTAAGGGCTAAAAATGTTCCATATCAAAATTTTTAAAGTTCGAACATTCTGCATATATGAAGAGGTAATTGTCCATCACCTGTGCATCTCCACAAATGAAATAAAATTACTAAAAAGAACCTGGTCGAAATGTTCACAAATGCAAATTGATCCTTTCCAAACCTCAATATTGGAAGCTGCCACTTCTTTGTCCCAATTGAATCTTGGTACGTTTTGAATGATTGCTTTCACGCAAGTCCTTCCGGTGGTTTCAAAGGCCACGGTGCTATTCATCGTACCCGATTTCTCACTCGCAAAACCAGTTACAGAATCGGTTTTGTCCATGTTTGCTCTTGTCATCTGCTTCTTCATATACCACTGGGAGATCGATTTAGGGGAAGCTGATTGTGTCTCTCAGTCATTCCAAACACACATTTCCTTTCTCCCCTATTTCCAAAATATGGAGCCTCATTTCGACAAGGAGGAGACACTTTATTATTGACTCTATTCCCTGCAAAAATGATATGACTAAGCGATAGCATTAAACTTACTCTGATCAAAATAACTTTGATGTTAACTAGTGGATTAAAAATTAACTTGCTACATATTTTACTTAAGTACATTGTTCGTGTGTATTGCACGTTGTGATGGACTTGACAAGGTCAATTGGATCGCACCAGAGCAAATTCAACCTTCAAATGTCCACAAACAAAACCTCACTCTCTTTATCCTTCTTAATATCTCTATGAAGGAAACAAGGGGTGTGCGATAGACTTACCTCCACGTGGTGCACCCTGGGCAACGTATATTCATACGGCAAAAAAGTCTATTGACTGGCAGTTGACTTCTCACTTCAAACTACTATCACCTCACTCAATGCCATATTCGACTATTTCCACAGTACTCACCTCACCCTTGTTCTACTTTTGTATTCGTCTCTTACATCTTTGAAACACTCCTCTCTTCCCCCTCTCGACTTTTTCAAGTTGATGTTCCTTCCCCTCTGTGAAGCCTGAAGTCAACTAAAGGGCTAATGATAACCATCAAAACGCCTGCCATTTGATATAAATAAATGAAGGAAACAACTGCTGGACTGGGTCAAACGGGTTTAATCAGACCTGATATCCTGACGTCACTAGGCAGGCAATTAATACTGTGAGCGCGACCTTTTGGTAAAGGCTTATTTGGCACAGAGAACAATGTTCAGAACAGATACATTAATGTTAAACCATCACAATATGTTAATGGTGATTGTGTAGCAATGGTTTTGTTGGCAAATGGAGGTGCAAATTTATGGATTATAAAGAAGATGATGGATAGAGAGAATCAACCGAATGGAATGAATAGTCTTCATTGTCATCGAGGCTACGTGGCAATAAATAGAGACAACTTCTAGATTAAGGTGGGTTTGTACTCACCCACCCTTGCACAAAGAACCATGTTCAGAATAGATGCATCAATTTTAAACCAATGCCGTTTGTGTTCCAATATCTTCGTTGACAAATTGGGGGGNCCACTGTATGTCATATTCCATCACTTTCACGATACTCACCTCACCTTTTCTCTACCTTTGCGTCTGTCTCTTNAAACCTAAAAAATATAAATATGAAGTCTGCTTAAGGTACTTACAATTAATCCTTCAAAGCACTCAACAGCAGGAATTAACGATAAAGTGGCAAACTGAGCCAGCGTTCAACTTCAAACGATTTCTAAATGTTAATTCCGCGTCAGAAGATCCGTGACATCGTTTAGCGCAGGATATACGATAATTCGGACGCTGCTGAATTGGAAACAGATTAATTATTCTCTAGAAGACAATGATGAGTGGTTTCAGAGCGTAGCCAAGCAACAGTATTTTATGAAGATCTTGATTTTAAGCTTCTGCAAGCTCTCCAACTGATTAGAGATATAAAAAACTTAGAGTAATTATAACCGCAAGAAGTAAAAGCAATATCACATTGTAATATTCCTCAACATACAAAAAGGTAAAAGAAACTTAGCCATTTGAGGTCTGTGAAAGTATTACACCTCAAACTTGACCAAATAAGCAAAAGAGTGAGTGCAAAATGTTGGTATCACAAAACATTTTTGCACAAAGCCAATGATTGGATGAACAATTAATAAGAATACCCCACAAAATGGTACTTAATTTAAAGTAGTTCAATTTCTAGTTTAATAAGTACGAGATAAAAGACAAAATGAAATTATTTGTATAAACTTAAAGCATAATTTCGCTTTGTTCTCTAACTTATTTTTGCATAGAATTCAAGTCAATATTTTTCATAACTCTTATAAATCGATGTTAATTTCCGCAATATTCGTATTATGGATGCTTAATATGAAAAGTGCTATAATTTATCTAAAGTTTTATATTAGTTTGCTACTAAGTATGTTTGTGTGTGATATGTCATCTCCTCCTTCACTATTATGTGACCAACTGGCATAAGTTTATTCATTGGCAAAATTTAAATCGAATAAGATGTTTCTGAAATGAACATAAATTGGCAGGAGTAATTACCTGAGTTTATTTTTAGACAGATAAAGGTGGCACTAATGATTCCTATGGCGATGTGGAAATGTTCCTATTTCAAGCATACGCGTTGCCCTTCCAATCACAATATTTCATATTGCTCAAGGACATAATCGTCAAGTCGTTATTTCATCCGCCTCAACATTTTTTCAGCAGTCGCATTGTGTTAAATGGCAAGTTGCATTACACTGAGGTATTCGCCATTTTAAGTTTTATTTTATGGTATTACAAGCACGCAAATCAAATAATTTTGTTTAATTTATTTTTCATAACAAACTTGAATGCTGCATACAGATGTGAATATCAAGTACTTTTGCTTTTCTTTCTTTAGTGGTTTTAGCCTTTCAGAAAATAGAATTACTTACAAATTGGCAAGTTCATCTCTCCGACTAATGGTAAAATAATCAGAAATGCAAATTGGATATTATTCTTAACTACCACTCAAAATTGAGCGTCGTTGCCTTGCTCACTGTCCGTAAGAAATTTATGAAAAACTCCTGCTGAATCTCCACTTGTAATTTAACTAGGTTAGTCTTATTAATATTTGCTAGCGAATTGGATAATCATGACAAATGACATTCAATAGCAACTGTTCCAATGCAGTAAGAATGAATAGGGAATAATATTGTTTGATTATTAGTGATCATATGGGTTTTAGTGTTGTAGGAAATGGATTTTAGCTGTATGCTTAAATCTCCTAATCAATTTAGGATTTTACTGAGATGTTGTGGGATCTGCTATCAGTTTTCTTTACACCACCACGAAACGCACTTCAAATCACAGGTCTAAAATTTGAAGTACTCCCGCCAAACGGCATTTGTAGGAAAGCTAAAGAATTTAGCTGCGCCGTTGAGCCCTCATGATTTGTTATTTTGTGAATTGCAGTGCCCTACAAGAAAAAGATGTTAATATGGGATTATGAGGAAATTTATTGGATGACTCACTTCGTCAGCATTAACTTGAGTCGCCAGAATAGAACTAATGAAACTAGAACAAGAGATGGCCTGATTTAAGATGTCCTCCAATTACCAATGACACTGTAGGCAGTGGTATTCGGAGTTGTAAATAAGTTCATCAAAGCCAACGAACAACTGGTGGCGATATTTTAGTGGAATGCAAGAACAAGCTGGTCACTACAATGCAACAAGCATTTACATTTTTACACGTAATTCAGCTACAAAATTACAAGCTTGGAATCACTGATCAGTTCACCTCTTCTCTTTGGCAGATGTTATTAACCAACTCAGAACTGTATTGACCATCATTGTCTCCAACTCTCAAGGTACACAAATACACCTCCCAATCGACACGAACATTGTGCTTAGTTGAGAAACAATTTCCAAGATATCACAATAGTGCAAAGTTAATGAAGCACACAATTANGGGGGTAATTAGATCACGTATAAAGAAGGTAAAAAAAGGGAAAAGAATCTAACAAAAAGAATGAATAGCCGTCATTGACATTGAGAGGAAATAATGACAACTTTTCTATCACAGATATTCTTTAAAACACTTTGAAAAACACTTCAAATATGCTGTGAACGTAAAAAGTCTGGCTACATCCCAAAACACGCGAAAGATACAGGATTACAGGCTTGACATCACTAGTCAATATACTTGTTCTCTTTAGCAGCCGATAATTACCAACTTAGAACTGTGTAGCCCACCATTTATTCAAATTCTCAAGGTGCACAAATACACCTCCCAATCGACACGAACATTGTGCTTAGTTGAGAAACAATTTCCAAGATATCACAATAGTGCAAAGTTAATGAAGCACACAATTAATTTCACCAAATCATTTGTCATACTTGACATTGCCCCACCACCGATGAAAGTAGTCCATGAAATCTCTGTAAGAATACTACTAATTTATCGGTTTCTTCAATAATCTAACCTGCATTACCCTGGTCTCAACTCACTTCACTTGACCTGATATACGCCATGTCATTTTGGCCTCTCACTATGCACTCATTTCCACTTCAATTGATGATTCCACCCCGGCCTCCACTTTCCTCGGCTTGTTAAGTGTAATAACTTTCGCACGGAGAGAAGAAGTCGCCTACTATTCAGAAGACTCTCTTCAGGCTCAATACATTCTATTACTCTAACAGTCCCCATCTACCAGTTGAAATAATGATAGCCAATGAAGAAGGCTTGGTTGTCTGATATATTCAAGGGAAACGCAATCAGAAAATGAATCATAGTGAGAAGACAGTCTTCAATCTCTTAATTCTTGGCGCATTCAACTTGCTTCACTTTAAGTAATAAACACAACTGTCCTATTTGATTCATCAGTTCGAAGTCTCTTACAAAGTATTGATGCACCTTGTCGTGAAATCAGTTCTTATTGAATCAACTATGACTAACATATGATTGATCTAACTCATTGCATGCTTTGCTCCTTCCGTACATGTCAGTTCTTTATTCACTTATTTCACCATCACCATATCGTCACCATTTACGATGCCACTGTCATCCCCCCCCCCACACACCACTCACATCAATTTTAATCCCTAAATCAGGCAGTAAGTTGCCAAACATTGCACCTATCTAATTCTTGTTGATACGTGACATTGACATTGGTCTGTAACAAACAGTAACTCATCATTCCTCTGCGTAACAAAGAATGCCACAGCGATAGATTATTTCTACCCTTTTCCCAACACCCTATTCCGATTACTTCTGATCACTTTGATGGCATTTTCTATGCAGAAGCACACATGTGACATTGGGCTCATCAGTTCGAAGTCTCTTAGAGGATATTGATGCACACCGTCGTGAAATTCCTCTTAGTTGTATCCATTGCCACTTCAATGATTGTGGACTGTAACTTGCGTAT